CAACCTGGCCCAGGCTTGGCCATTGCAAGATATAGGTACTGTCAAAGACTTCTCGGAAAATACCCCAGAAGCACAGGCAGTCAAAGCCAAAATTAACATTTGGGATTGCATCAAATTGAGAAGTTTCTGTACTTCAAAAGAAACAGTCAGGAAAGTGAAGAGACAACCGACAGAATGGGAAAATATATTTGCAAACTATGCAACTGATAAAGGGTTGATAACCAGAATCTACAAAGAAATCAAGAAACTCCACAACATCAAAATAAAAAACCCACTTAAGAGATGGGCCAAGGACCTCAATAGACATTTTTCAAAAGAGGAAATCCAAATGGCCAACAGATACACGAAAAAATGTTCAAGATCACTAGCAATCAGGGAAATGCAAATCAAAACCACAATGAGGTTTCACCTCACCCCGGTTAGAATGGCTCACATTCAGAAATCTACCAACAACAGATGCTGGAGAGGATGTGGGGAAAAAGGGACACTAACCCACTGTTGGTGGGAATGCAAACTGGTTAAGCCACTATGGAAGTCAGTCTGGAGATTCCTCAGAAACCTGAATATTTTTTTTTTTTACTTTTATTTAATGAATATAAATTTCCAAAGTACAGCTTATGGATTATAATGGCTTCCCTCCCTCTCCCAGAAACCTGAATATAACCCTACCATTCAACCCAGCCATACCACTTCTTGGAATTTACCCAAAGGAAATGAAATTGGCAAACAAAAAAGCTGTCTGCACATTAATGTGTATTGCAGTTCAATTCACAATAGCTAAGACCTGGAATCAACCCAAATGCCCATCAACAGTATACTGGATAAAGAAATTATGGGACATGTACTCTATAGAATACTATACAGCAGTCAAAAACAGTAAAACCCAGACATTTGCAACAAGATGGAGGAATCTGGAAAACATCATGCTGAGTGAACTAAGCCAGTCCCAAAGTGACAAATATCATATGTTCTCCCTGATTGGTGACAACTAACTGAGCACCAAAGGGGAAACCTGTTGAAGTGAAATGGACACTATGAGAAACAGTGACTTGTTCAGCTCTTGTCCTCACTGTTGATGTACAATGTAATACTTTTATCCCTTTTAGTATTTTTTTTTGTTCTAGCACTATTGGTTGAACTCTGTAATTAACACACAATTATTCTTAGCTGTTTAAATAAATTTTAACTGAAAAGTGATCCCTGTTAGGAATTTGGAAACATTATGCTGAGTGAAATAAGCCAGTCCCAAAGGGACAAATACCATATGTTCTCCCTGATAGGTGACAACTAACCGAGCACCAAAAAGGAAACCTGTTAAAGTGAAATGAACACTATGAGAAACGGTGACTTGATCAGCATAGCCCTGACTGTTAATGAACAACTTAATACATTATCCCTCTTAGTAGTTTTTTTGTCTGTTCTACTTAATATGACTGATTTAATTCTGTAATTAATACACAGTTATTCTTAAGTGTTGAAACTTAACTGAAAAGTGATCCCTGTTAAATATAAGAGTAGGAATAAGAGAGGGAAGAGATGTATAATTTGGGACATGCTCAAGCTGACTTGCCCCAAATGGTAGAGTTAGAAACATACCAGGGGATTCCAATTCAATCCCATCAAGGTGGCATGTACCAATGCCATCTCACTATTCCAAGTGATCAATTTCTGTTCACAATTGATCATAATGATAGGACTAAGAGCCAAAGGGATCACATAAACAAGACTAGTGTTTGCAAACACTAATTGATAGAATAAAAAAGGGAGAGAACAATCCAACATGGGAAGCAAGATACACAGCAGACTCATAGAATGGCAGATGTCCTAAACAGCACTCTGGCCTCAGAATCAGCCCTTAAGGCATGCAGATCCGGCTGAAAAGCCCATGAGAGTATTTCAGGCATGGAAAGCCAAGACACTCTGGCAAAGAAAAAAAAAAAAAAACACCTAAAGATCTCTGCGAGTGAGATCCCAATAGAACAGGTCATCAAAGGAGGTACCTTTCTCTGAAGGAAGGAGAGAACTTCCACACTGACCTTGTCTAAATATGATCAGAGTCAGTGAACTCAGGGGGCTTCCAGAGCCTTGGCAACTCATGACTAGAGCCTAGGATGATTACTGATGCCATAAACAAGAGTGTCAATTTGTTAAGTCAACAACAGGAGTCACTGTGCACTTACTCCTCATGTAGGATCTCTGTCCTTAATGTGCGGTACAGTGTGATTTAATGTTATAACTAGTACTCAAACAGTATTTTTCACTTTGTGTTTCTATGTGGATGCAAACTGTTGAAATCTTTACTTAATATATGCTAAACTGATCTTCTGTATATAAAGAGAATTGAAAATGAATCTTGATGTGAATGGAAGGGGAGAGGGAGTGGGAAAGGAGAGAGTTGCGAGTGGGAGGGAAGGTATGGGGGGGGAGCCATTGTAATCCATAAGCTGTACTTTGGAAATGTATATTCATTAAATAAAAGTTAAAATAAAATAAATAAATAGCTATTTTTTTTTAAATTAACATGGGGGCAGATGTCTGGCACATTGGTTAAGATGCTGCTTGTGACACCTATTTCTCATATCAAACTGTAAAGGTTTGGGTCCTTGCTCTGTTTTCAAATTCAGCTTCCTGATAATGCACACCTTAGGAGATAGCAGAGGATGGTTCAACTACTTAGGTCCCTGCCACACCCATGGGAGACCTGTATTGAGATCTGGGCTCCTGGCTTCAGCCTAGTCCAGTCATGGCTATTTCAAGCGTTTGAGGAATGAACCACTGAATGGAAGATACTTCCCTGTCTGTGTCTTTGTCTCTGTCTGCCTTTCAAAACAAACTGAAAATAAAGTTATAAAAAAAATTAACAATAGCTTAATATAATGCACAATATGCTGAAACTGCACCCAACTAAAAAAAAAATGTACATTCTTTTCAAACAAAATACATCTGTGTAAAGAGAACCACAAGGAGAGTGAAAACCAAGTATAGGGCCCAAAGGGACAAATATGATATGTGCTCCCTGACCTGTGATAACTAATAGAGCACCAAAAAGGCAATTTGTAGAAGTAAAATTGACACTTTGAGAAACAATGACTTCAACAGCCCTTGTCTTGACAGATGAGGAAGTCTTTTTTTTTCCATACTATTTGCTGAACTCTTTACTTAACATAGAGTTAAATATATGTGTATAAAGTTAACTGAAAATAGATCTCAGTAAAAAATAAGAGTGGGAATAAGAGAGAGGAGGAAGAAGGATGGGACTATGGGTGGGATAGAGGGCACAGTAGGAAGAATCACCATGTTCCTAAAGCCATAATTATGAAGTATATGAAGACTGTAACTGTAAAGCTGTATAGTTCTGCATACATCCCTATGCTTACTTCTAAGGGTACAGTTTAAAAACTGGCCATGAGGCCCCAAATCCCCTTAAGCTCGGTGGTAAAAATACCATCTTAAGTGTTAGAGCAGTCATATGGATAGGATTAAGAGTCTGGTAATTATAATAGATAGAATTAAAAAGGAGTGAAGGCTCCAACATGGGAAGCAGTCTCATAGAATGCAGACTCATAAAATGACAATCGCTTTGAGTAGCACTCTGATCTCAGAATCAGCCCTTAAGGCGTTCTGGTCTGGCCCATGAGAGCATTTCAGGCATGGAAAGCCAAGAACTGTGGCAAAAAATGTCCTAACTAAAGAACCTCGGTGGGTGAGACCCCAGCAGAAAGAAGTGGTCATCAAAGAAGGATGTACTTTTCTCAGAAGAGAGGAGAGAACTTCCACTTTTTCTAAATACTGGTGGAGTCTGTGGATTCAAAAGGCTTTCACAGCCTAAGTAGCTCATGTGAAGAGCCTAAGGTGGTCACTGACGTCATACATAGGAGTATTAAATGTCACATTAACAACAGGAGTCACTATGCGCTAACATCCCATGCAGGACCTCTGTCCTCAAAGAGTTGTATTATAATTATGTCTAAGACCTTGAAAAAGATGTATCACTCTTGAGCGCTTCTTTAAAGTTAATTAAGTTTCAAAAAAAAAAGTGAAATTAACTTCAGATGCAATGCCTTTGAACAGCCCTTTGTCTCAACTGTTGAGGAACACTTTTTCTTCATGAAAACTGGTAAACTATTTACTTACTATATAGTCTTTTGTGTATAAAGTTAATCAAAAATGGATCTTAGTGGGGAATGGGAGAGAGAAGAGGAGGAGGGGTGGGAGCGTGGATATGGCAGGAAGAATCACTATATTCCTAAAGTTGTACTTATGAAGTGCATGAAGTTTGTATTCCTTAAATAAAAGGTTTATTTGGAAAAAAACTTTTAGGCAACAGATATGCTAATTTACCTGATTTGATCACTACCCAATAAATATGTGAAACAAAACATAATATTTCACCCTATAACTGCATGCAATTATTACATGCCAATAAAAAATAAAAACAATATAAAACATCAATAACAGTAATAATAAACTTCGAAAAGATAAAAAAAAAAAAGCAAACAAGTATAGGGGCTGGCACTATAGTGTTGCAGGTAAAGCCACCACCTACTATGCCAGCTTCCCATAAAGGTGCTGGTTCAAGTCCTGGTAGCTCCACTTCTAATCCAGCTCCCTGCCAATGTGCCTGGGAAAGTAGCAAAAGATGGCCCAAGTCCTTGGGCTTCTGCACTTCCAGGGGGGGACCTGGAAGAAACTACTGGCTCCTAGCATCAACCTGACCTAGACCCAGCCATTGTAAATATTTGTGGACTGAACCAGAGGATGGTAGAACCCTCTCTCTTTCCCTTTCTCTCTGTAACCTGTAACTCTGCCCTTCAAATAAATAAAATAAATCTTTTTTAAAAAATGGTGTACTTTAAAAAAGTATAAATAAATCCACATTATTTATAGAAAAATCTGAAATGCTGAAAAAGGAAAATAAGAAAGGCAGGAATTTAATGGGCTAAGCATTACGCTAAAAGAGAGAATACTCAAGCAAATTAGAAGGAAAACAATGTTTCCACTTCTGTCCCGTTGAATGTCAATTGCCACCAGTATATAGTACCTTGGCAAAGATACAATCAACGGTTTTCTTTCAGCACCAGCTACCAAATCCTGGCCCTACTGCCTAGGGGAAGATCTGTGAAAGTGCTAGAGGAAAACAATTACTAAGAACAGAAAATTAAATAACAGAAAATCAAGTATTTATTTTTTGAAAGGAATGTCAAGAATATTAGTCAACACCTAGCAGTATGCAGAAAGAATTATGAGTTCTTTAAGAGCAGCACTGAGAATGTACCTTTGATTGATTTTAACTAGATCTTTCATCTCTGTAAAATTTACTTGTCAATCTGAGAGCAATGCTAATGAATTATGAAACACTGAGAAGCTATTTATATCAAGATAACCTCCCAAAATCAGTTTATTATGCTGTTGTTTCAACATTCCTTTGAATGAAACATGTATATAATAGCTCTTTCCTTAAAAATTATATTAGAAGTAATTTTAAACAGTGGTTTCCTGAATTAACATTAATAAAATTTTATCTATAGGGTTCAGGAAAGTTTTTCTGTAAAGAACCAGGTAATAAGGGCTAGCACTGTGGTACGCTGAGTAGATAAAGCTGCCTCCTGGGGCACTGGCATCCCATATGGGCTGGAGGCTCCACTTCAATCCAGCCCCCTGCTGGATGCACCAGGGAAAACCACGGAAGATGGCCTAAGTCCCTGGGCCCCTGCACCCACGTGGGAGACCCGAAAGAAGCTATTGACTGCTAGCTTCAGCCTGCAGCCATATGGAGAGTGAACTAGTGGATAGAAGACCCCTGTGTCTCCCTCTCTCTTTCTATAACTCTGCCTTTCAAATAAATAATCTCGCCGGCGCCGCAGCTCAATAGGCTAATCCTCCACCTTGCGGCGCCAGCACACCGGGTTCTAGTCCCGGTCGGGGCACCAGATTCTGTCCCGGTTGCCCCTCTTCCAGGCCAGCTCTCTGCTGTGGCCAGGGAGTGCAGTGGAGGATGGCCCAAGTACTTGGGCCCTGCACCCCATGGGAGACCAGGAAAAGCACCTGGCTCCTGGCTCCTGCCATCGGATCAGCGCAGTGCGCCGGCCGCAGCGCGCCGGCCGCAGCGGCCATTGGAGGGTGAACCAACAGCAAAACAAGGAAGACCTTTCTCTCTGTCTCTCTCTCACTGTCCACTCTGCCTGCCAAAAATAAATAAATAAACAAAAATAAATAAATAAATAAATAATCTTTAAAAAATAATCTTTAACAACAACAACAAAAAGATCCTTGTTGGTTTCTGCTACAGAATTCACTGCTTACTAGTGGGTGGGAAACAAGCCTCACATGGTGGGGGGAGGGGAAGAGTTCAAGATGGTTGAATAGAGATACCCACCATTTGTCTTCCTCTCCACAGGGCAGAACTAAAGAAACAAATAAATAGCCGCGCGTTTTAAGGTGATTGCCCCAAGAAGCAACACTAGAATTCAGTGAGGGAATAACAGGAGACCTGTGAGGGCAGCAGAGAGAAACAAAACCAACCAGAAACTGAGATCCTTGATCCTTCATGGCTGGGTGGAATCCCTATTGCAGGGGAGACACCTTATGCTGGCAATGAAGTCAGTCTTATAGTGTAGGAGCCCAGTAAAGAGAGCTACCTGTAGAATACTACAGAGAAGGAATTCACATTGTATCCCCCATAATCACCGCAGAGAGACAGCAACAGTGTAGCACCATATTGAAAAAAGGAGTCACTGTCAGAAATTATAGCACCCTAGGAGACAGAAGTTTCTACACACCCCATTTCTGGGGCCTCACAGATATTCCAACTAAAAAGACAGTGAGCTCACAAATCCAACTAGACTTCGTAGAGCAACAGAGAGCCCAACTTGAGGTTCTCTGGCTAACTTGCAAATAGATATTGACAAAAGGCTGATTGGCTACCCAGACAAGACTTACTGGGAGTTTACAGTCACAGCTCAGCACGAAGGTGCTCTGCTGACTAGCTCCCCAGTGGGAGCTATTATTTATTTATTTGAAAGTCAGAGTTACCAAGAGAGAGGAGGCAGAGACAGAGAGAGGTCTTCCATCTGCTGATTCACTCCCCAGATGACCGCAACAGCTGGAGCTATGCCAATCCAAAGCCATGAACCAGGAGCTTCTTCTGAGTCTCCCAAGCAGTTACAGGGACCCAAGCACTTGGGCCATCTTCTACAGCTTTCCCAGGCCATAGCAGAGAGCTGGATCTCTCTGCCTCTCCTTCTCTCTCTGTGTTAACTCTGACTTTCAAATAAATTAATTAAAAAAAAAAAAAAGACTAACAACAAAAAAGAAAACTATAGACCAGTATACCTAATGAACATAGATGCAAAAATTCTCTCTCAAATATTAGCAAACTGTATCCAATAGCACACCATAAACATCATTTACCATGATCAACAGAGATTTATCCCAGGGATGGTTCAACGTAGGCAAATCAATAAACACAATACAACAAACCAACTGAACAAAAAGGGTAAAAGTCGTATTATCACCTCAACAGATGCAGAAACAGTATTCAAAAAAATTCATCATCCATTAATGTTAGATAAAACCCTTAAACAAATCAGGTATGGAAGAAACATACCTCAACATAAAAAAAGGCAAACTCAATAGTCAAAAATATATTAAATAGGGCCGGCGCCGCGGCTCACTAGGCTAATCCTCCGCCTAGCGGCGCCGGCACACCGGGTTCTAGTCCCGGTCGGGGCGCCAGATTCTGTCCCGGTTGCCCCTCTTCCAGGCCAGCCCTCTGCTGTGGCCCAGGAGTGCAGTGGAGGATGGCCCAGGTGCTTGGGCCCTGCACCCCATGGGAGACCAGGAAAAGCACCTGGCTCCTGGCTCCTGCCATCGGATCAGCGCGGTGCGCCGGCCGCAGCGCGCCGGCCGCGGCGGCCATTGGAGGGTGAACCAACGGCAAAAGGAAGACCTTTCTCTCTGTCTCACTGTCCATTCTGTCAAAAAAAAAAAAAAAAAAATTAAATGGGGAAAAGTTGAAAGCATTTTCTCTAAGATCTGGAAACAAGCAAGCATGTTCACTCTCACTTCCCTTATTCAATACACTACTGGAAGTTTTAGCCAATTAAGAGCAATTTACAGCAATTAAGAGAAAAAAAAAAAGGCATACAAACAGGAAAGGAGGAAGTAAAATAATCCTTGTTTGCAGATAACCCGGTTCAACATGAAGGAAAACCTAAATATTCTGAGAGAATATTAGAACTAATAAATAAACTATTCATTAAAATTGTAGGATACAAAAGCAATCAAAAAAAAAAAAAAAAAACAGTTACGGGGCTGGCACTGTGGCAGAACAGGCTAAATCTCTGCCTATGGCACCGGCATCCCATATGGGTATCAGTTCATGTCCCCAGCTGTTCCTCTTCCTATCCAGCTCTCCACTATGGCCTAGGAAAGCAGTGTTAGATGGCCCAAGTGCTCCCAAGTGCACCGACATGGGAGATCTAGAAGAAGCTCTTGGCTCCTGGCTTCAGATCGGCTCAGCTCCAGCCATTGAAGCCATCTGGGGAGCGAATCAGCCGATGGAAGACCTCTCTATCTCTCCCTCTCAAATAAAATCTTAAAAAAAAAAAAAAAAAGAGGTTGTGTTTTTACACAGCTAATACAAATATATAACTGTGATCCCACTCACAAGGAATAAATTTAACCAAGGATGCAAAAGCCCTCTACAATGAAAATCAAAACAAACTGAAGACCACACATACACAAAGTGAAGACCTTCCATGTTCATGGATTAGAAGAAATTAAAATTATTGAAATGTCCATACGAGCCAAAGTGATTTACAAATTCAATGCAATCATTAAAATAATGATTTTTAACAAACCAGTAATAAAAAAATCCTATAATTTATATGGAAACACAAAAAGATCCAGAATAAAGAAATCCTGAAAAAGAACAGCTATTAGAAGGGTGGGAGTAAAGGTGGGAGGGCGGGTAGGGTGGGAGGGATCACTATGCTCCTAAAGTTGTATTATGAAATGCATGAAGTTTGTATACTTAAAAAAAAATAGTTTCTGGGAGGGGGGAAAAAAAACAGCTATTCTACTTTTCTGAAGTAGAATACATCTCTGAAGGACATGGAATCAGCATATCAAAGAGATACCTGTGCTCCTATGTGAACTGCAGCACTATTCACAACAGCCAAGTGGAATCCTCAATGGATAAATAGTGGTTTATACAGACAAGAGTTAATACTCAGCCATAAAAAGAACGAAATCCTGACATTTGCAGCAAAACAGATGAAACTAGAGAATGAAACACAGAATGCAAATACCATAGGTTCTCTCTCATATGTAGAAATGAAAATAAAAAGGGAAAGGACTGGACAAAAGTGATTACAAGAGCCTGGGGAAGGGAAATATAACTTCCAATGAGGCAAAATAAAAAAAGTGACAGTATCAATTTACAATAATAATAATACAAGCACAAAAAAAAAAAAATCACCTCACCTAGAATTTTTATTTTCTTACACTGTCAGTTTGATTAGTGAGTCTAAGGATTAATCTTAAAAAGCAAAAAGCAGACTTATCACAGTTCTCTATAATTATGTGTTTCACAAAATAAGATATTAACAGTTAATTTTTAATATTCATTTAGTGTAATTACACTGATGCAGTTGCAGACTTCTCTCAAACTCTTTTTAACAATTTAAATACCATAAATTCTTCTGCTGAGTATAACCTGATAGGCAGTGATAAGGAATGACAAATTTTTCCATCAATCTCTTAAAAACTTTCCTAAATAGGACCTTTTCTATTAATCATAGTCTACTACTGTTTGTGGACTTCTACTTTAAGCATATATCCTGTATTTGGAATACACACATAGCCCCGTCTTCAATATATTTACAAACGAAAAACAAGGATATTAGAAAATTCTTACCAGAAAGATCCACCACAGCCTCATGACTGGAAACAGCTCCTTTTTCAATAAAAAGATCTCGAAAATATTCACTATTAGCTGACAAAACAGACTTATGAGCTTTGTACTCTTCTCCTTCAATTAACAAAGTAACATCACAGAACTGGTTGGAAAGTCGCTGCTCATTCAGCTGCTTTAAGACAGCCTGACAGTGTTTTGGAGAAGAACGTTTT